CTATGAGGCGCTGGTGCTGGCAGGGCTCGGGAGGAACAAAACCAGTAAGGACCGCTGAGATACAACAGTTACTTTGGCCAGGGGCCTGTCTTAAGGACTTTACGTTTATTTACACACATAGTCCTGGCAAGAACGCCCAAGCAAAGCAACAGGCAGGTGGAAAGGGGGAAGAGAAAGGAAAAATAGCTTGAGGAGAAAGTGGCAAGATAAATTTCATACAATTTAAAGGCTATTAAGTGCTGCTTCTGGATCAGGGGATAGAGGCCAGGAAATGAGAGGAGAAATAATGAAGGCAGGAGAAAAGGCAGCCATGCACATGGTAGGCAATGGTAAGAGGAAAAACTTTCCCGGAGACCTCAGGGGTTGGCCACACTGTCTCGGCTGGGGCGGAGGCTGCTTTGCGCTGGCCCTGTCTCCTACCCACTGTTACCACGAGGTTCCCACAGCCTCCACACAATCCTTCCTAGAAGCCAGCTCTCATCCTCGTAATATTTGGTCTGTTGAAGGCCAAACCAAGTCACCTCCGCCCCATGCAGCACAGGCCTTTCCCCGGTTAGTACGGCCATTTGAGACCCATGAGCTATTTTAGAGGTTTTGCAGCTTAAGCGGCCTCTTAGAATTCCTTCCTCTAAGGGTCTCATTGATATGAGGACACATTTCGGGTCTTCAAGCAGTATCTGGTGAAAATGGCTTGCTTTCAGCCTACGGCTGTCTGTGATGTTGCTTTCCCACCAAGAGCTGCAGAGCTCCATTTCCAAGGTTGGCTACCTTTTCAGATGGTCACCTCAGGTCACTGGCTCCTCTTCCTCCAGCCACCCCACCACACTGGCCCTCTCCAGAAGCCCTTTACATTCCCCTCCATCATTGGAAGGGCATGCCAGGGTCCTCTGCTGGTGACACTCCCCCTCTCCATGAGTCTCCTCCACCAGCAGATACATGGAAGCAGCCATGTTTCCTGTCTGGCCTTTCAGGGTCCCAACAGAAGTCCTTATGGCTGCTGCCCCGTCTCTGCGTCACCTCAGACCCACCTCAGTTCTGACTTAATGCAGGCAGCTTCCCAGACGTAATGAGATGCCGGGACTTGGAAGGTGGGACTCGCTCTCTGAAGACACTGGCCCTGGAGACATATTCTTACAGTCCAGAGAGGAAGGACAGTCTGAACAAACCCCACCCTTTTGCAGCCACTCAGTTCCCTTTTTTTGTTTCCTGACTTAAACCAATGCCTTTTTTTCTTCTTAGCAATATGGTCTCTGGTTCCGTGCTGCTGTCCCCGTTCTGCTCCCCCCAACTCTCCCCACCCTCATTTGCCTGGGACCTCTTTCGCTAATAGAGTCCAGCTTGGAGAGAACCTTACCTTTACCGGGGCTGCTGAGTCCCCTAAGATTACGGGGCAAGGACCGAACACACAGGTCATCAGGCTACCCTCCCTGGGGTAAAGGGGTGACATACCTAAAGAGCTGTGGGGGGGGGAGAGTGATCAGCACAGGAAGAGAGATGTCCAAGCTGGCAAGATACAGAACCAAGCCAGTGTCTTCAAGGTCTCTTGTCCCCTCAGGAGGGGAGACTCAGGGTCAGGCAGTTCAACTTGAAGGATGAAGAGGGCTCCCTCAGAGACCCTGAAATACATAGCCTGACAGAGGTAGAGACAAGACTTCCCCTGCTGAGTCATTTTCTAAGAAAGTTTTTTTTTTTCTACAGATAAATATGCCTGAATGTAAGCCCACACAAAGACTTGTGCCCTTCCCCATTCTTTGGTGAATGTTCTTTTGTGAATATTCTTCCTTCAAGATTCAACCTCATGAGGAAACACACTTCTAATCCAGTTGCTAGGGTGATGCAGGTAGGCTGGTCACAAGTTCAAAGCCTGGACAGCATAGGAGAGTCTGTCTCATTTTTTCTCTTTCAAAAATAAACAGTTTACAGCATTTTCTTTGATTCTGCAAAGCAGTAAACAAGACATGTTATTTGAAACCTGAATGTTACCTCAGCGGACCCCTAGTTTGTGTTCCAGCCTCTGTTTTCTCCCCAAGGATTCTCTAAAGAAATGCAGCCAGTATCTGCCACAAACTTGAAGGTGTCAAAGCCCCCGGTGACTGATTTTCTTGTCCATGTCATGGGGCACCTTTGTAACGCCTTCCCCTGAGATGCTATACTCTAATATGGAAACATATCATTGATTCTAAAAACAGATCAGAATGTCGAAAGCACCAGGAGTTTTTAAAAAAGCATTTATAAAATGCCAGGTTGGGAAATCATTGCATTGGTATAGATGGATGGGCACCAAGTGTCATATGGCTCTCTCTATTTTACTGACAAGTTATGTCCTTTCCCTAGTCACATGTAGTAACTGTTCCAGTCACCAATGGAGTGAGCACAGACATTGACCATCCCTCCCCTTTTCTTTAGTCCGATGCTCCTTGTCACATGCCCCATCCTTTCTAAAGGTCCGTTTGCGATAGGAATTGCGAGTTCATAGGGGCACCGTGGGAAAATAGACAGGGAGGCAAAGGGGAAGGGCAGAAAAAGCTACTTCTTCACCCTTGGCTCCCAGCCACTCAGCTAGCACACTCATTTGTACCAACAAAACCATGCCCAAATGGAACAGTGAGGAAAAATAAGCTTATAGCACAGATGCAAGTGACTACCACTGGATAGACTGGCGAGACGGTCCAGCAGGCAAAAGCACTTGCTGCCAAGCCTGATGACTTGTGCTCAATGTCCACGGTAGGAGAGGAGGTGGCAGTAGTGCTTGTGAAAATGGTACCTGGGCTTTGCTGACAGCAGCTAAAAGAAATGGCAAAGCAGAAACATATATGATTGAGAATCGAGATGACATGGGGCTTTTTTGTAGAAGTAAAATATCTGGAGGAAGTGAATGTCTCATACAACTGTGCAATGCCCAACTATACCTAGATTCTTGTCTTTAGTTCTGAGTGTTTCATTTTAGGGAAAATAATGAGCAGAGACATGTAGACTATTGCTAAACAAATTTTGAACTATAGGATGAATAATTTTGGGGGTCTAATTAATATTCAATTGTTTATTTGAAATTAGATAAGAGAGCTGACTTAAGTGTTTTTACCTCTACACACACACACGCACAAACACTCACGTAGGCAATATTGGGTGGTGATGGTTGTGTTGACTGTGGCAGTTATGCAAGATAAGTGTATATCATCATATTGTATACCTTAAATAGATGCAATTTTGTCAATGAACTATTTCAAAATAAAAAGTTCTGCTGGGCAGTGGTGGTGCATGCAGAGGCACGCGAATCTCAGTGCATTCCAGGCCAGCCTGGTCTACAAAGAGAGTTTGTTACACAGAGAAAGCCTGTTTCAAACAAACAAAAACGTTCCCCAAACCACATCACATGGGGAATGAGTCAAGAAACAAAGTTTGATTAGATGAAGAAGGCTAATTGTCTTTTTATCTCCAGATTAATTACATGGTCAACAAAAACAAGACAAAATAGAAAAACAAAACAAAGAATAACTTTAGAAACTCCCTAAAGGCCAGTGAGGTTTTTAAGAGTCTAGACAGAGGAAAATACTGCTGGACTTCAGGTTGGCAGCTTGGCAAAGAAATGCAGCGGGCTATGGTGGTGTTGTTATCTTAGTCCTGGGGACCACCCAACAAAAATGTGGGTGGAGTCAACTTGTTTCTGGAGCATCATACAAGCAGATGTACCGGGCCTCCTAACATCAGCTCCTGGGCCACTGCTGCCTCCTCTTGCATTCTAGCCCAAACATCTACCCTGTAGGTGCCTCTTTCCCTGGGCAATATACTGGTTAAGACTAGGAATTATGTGTTGTTAAATGGCCGAAGGTTGAATTCCAACTTCCAAAATAACCATGGGTGTGACTTTGGATAGGTCAGGTGCCTCAGTTTCCTCATTTGGTAAATACTAGTCATAGGAAACAGCTGCTGAAGATTGGCAGGATTCAAGAGGCAGGCATCCAGACACGGTGGCACATAGCACATACATGTGGCCCCCAGCACTCAGGATAAGGATCAGGAGTTCACAGCTGTCATCAGCTACATAGGTGAGTTTAAGGTCACCCTGGGATGTCTGAGGCTCTCCCCACCCCAAAGACAGCTGTTATAATAGGCAGGCCATATATTATATGATCATATTATCATATTATGTGATAGTAAAGGAAATAGAGTTCTGGAATCACAGAACGCATGGGGGTGAGGTGTGCTTCTACTACTGTTGACGGTGGACCAAAGCTTTCACATGCTACTGGATGAATGCCCTCCCCCTGGAAAATGGAAGTAGCATTACCACGTTCCTCCTAGACTCACTCTGAGAATCTATTTTAAAACTCAGCTAGCTTCCTTCAACCTTTCTCGGTTGGACTAACTTGAAACTTCATACATGTCTGCTGCCAAGTACTCAGGGAAGTTGAGGTATGTTTTCTTGGTTGGCCCAACTATCTCAGAAGCCAGATAAATTCATTGCTAGTTTTCATAACTATTTAAAATCAGCCAATTTACTTCCTCAGCTAAAAGGTACTGCTTTCATTGTTTTTTTTTTTCTTCAAAGTACTTAGCCTGAGATTGGACAGTAATGAACATAATCAATTACTATGTCCTGCTCCTACAACAGTGCCTGAAACAGAATAGACATTAACTAAAAGAGCTGAAGCGACTGGCTACCTCCCAGGGCTTCCGTGAGCCACATTTTGTTGTTTAAGATCGTTTCAGTTTCCTTGAAGTGGAAAAGAATGTTAGGCTGAGATGGAAGACCCCTCCCACTTGATCCTAGTCCCTGGTCTGCTCCAACACGGGAGATCAGAGTCTGGGAAGAGCATTGCTTTCTTCGCTTAAGCTACTAAATTGCAAAGTCCGCCAAAAGGGGTGGAGTAATGAAAGCTGAGGGGCTCTAGGCGGGAGGAAGTGGAGGAGAGAGCCACAGGCTTAAGGCGGAGCCTTGGCTGAGGCGCCTGTCTGCGGCTGAGGCAAATCATCCAGCCATCCGAGGGCGCTGCGCTGGGATCCTTACAGACTCTATGGTAGCTGTCTCCCACGGCTCTGAGGAAGTGCACCCAGGCACCGCCTATAAACTTCCGTTGCTGGCCTTCCCTCTTTCTTTCTGTGCCGATATCGCACCCGCCAACATGGTATGATTGTGTGTCGGGGTTTCGTAGTATCCAGCACAATCCTTGCAGCCGGCGTGGACAGTATTGTCCCAAATTGCGTCAAGGCTCAGTTAGGACCTCGATGTACTTAAGAAATCTAGCATTGCCGAGAGCGACCCACAGGGAACGCAGGGAGCGAAGTTCTGGGCGGAGGAATTAAAGTGGTGGGGCGATTTAGCTGCGGGTGGCTACAGTTTGGCGCGTGTGACTGATCCACCTTTTAAATCTACGTGGTGGTTGTGTTTTACTGAGTAGCTGTAGTTAGCTTCATCTGGATCCAGGGAGGGTGCTGGGTCATTGCGGTCCGGTAGCTGCACGTTCTGAACATTTAATTTTTTCTTTTAACTAGGTGAACGTTCCTAAGACCCGCCGTACATTCTGCAAGAAATGTGGCAAACACCAACCCCACAAAGTGACCCAGTACAAGAAGGGCAAAGATTCTTTGTATGCCCAGGGTAAGCTGCTTATATGTAATTTGATGATGGTTAGGGGATAGGGATGGGGAGTTGGTGGGAGATAAACGCCAGCTATGTAAAGCAAGCTGGTCCGGAATAAGCAATCCTACCTCAGCCTCTCAAGGGTTGGGGCTGTGCCTGTTTCCTGCATGTGAACTGGTTTTGACGTGACACTTGTGAGACCTATTAACAAGTCCAGGCATCCCCCTCCAATTTAAACTTGAGACTTTTCCTTGTGGCTGTTTGGACATAGGATCTGTGTGCAGCATGCCATAACAAATAACTTTTTTCAGGAAAGCGGCGCTATGACAGGAAACAGAGTGGCTATGGTGGGCAGACGAAGCCTATTTTCCGCAAAAAGGTTAGTGATTCCTAACTGACATGTTTCTTGATTATTCTGGTAAGGACCTTGGCATTTGCCATCTCTAGTCTACAAGCATTAGTATAGTGTTCCGGCTAAGTTATCCCCCTTAGCGGCAGGAATGTTTCCAAGGCAATGGAGCTGGGAGTCAACCCAGATCTGACTATAGTCTTGAGTATAGCATCTCACTTTAAAGAGGCAAAAATGAAGGAATGTGCCCTGCTTTCCTAAGAAGGGAATGATGTGTGTACCAGCAAGATCGTTCATTCGTTTATCGTCATGTCTGACTCCTAAGCTCTTTGTTGCTCGAGGCTCAGTGGTAGAGTTTGAGGGCAACCCAGGTTCTATTCCCTGTATTGCCATGAAGGGCTCTCTGGATTTCTCAGTCTCATGAAGTCTTACAGTGCATGTGTAGGCCTTCCACTGGCTGAATTCTAGTTTCATGAAGTTCCTTCTTTAGGGAACCTGCATTTATTCATCTCTTTGTTCCTACTCTGCCAGCTTGGTTGTAGAAATTAAATGAGTTCGTTGGGTCCTGGAGTGGGTGTTGGGTAATGGGAATGCTTGTTCATTTAAATGTTCAGCCCATTTTGTACAGAAGAGGGAGGTGTTTCAGCTTTCAGACTGCAAACTAGCAACAAACCTACCACTAAATTAGTGTATTTTTAAAGGTTGATTATTAGCCAGGCGGCGGTGGTACATGACTTTAATCCCAGCCCCCGGGAGGCAGAGGCAGGTGGGTCTATAGAAACCCTCTATTGAAAAAAAGTTGATTATTAGTGGGGAGTGGAACTGATTTAGGGCTAATTGAAGTCTTGAGAAAATTGGTGAATCCCAAAAGTTGTATTTCATATTTGCATAAATTTGGCTGGCTTTTATTTGACTTAACCACTAAAGAATACAAATAGCCTGAAAGGCTACAAATTTTAAAGTAGCTTTTTTTGGGGGGTAGGGGGCGGCAATGTCATGTAGCCCAGGCTGGCCTTAAATTCATGTGGTTACAGCTTGTCTCCACCTCCAAAGTGTTGGGAACACAGGTGTGCACAACCAGATCCACCTTCAGTTTTCCTACTGTTTAGCGCAAAGTGATTGGCTTCTGGATCTTTTTTCTCTCCATACCTGAATACAGATTGTGTCAACCTAATTTTGTGAAGGATTTGACTTCATTTCTTTTGTAGGCGAAAACTACAAAGAAGATTGTGCTGAGACTGGAATGTGTGGAACCCAACTGCAGATCTAAGAGGATGCTGGCTATTAAGAGATGCAAGCATTTTGAACTTGGTGGTGATAAGAAGAGAAAGGTACTCTCCTTTGAAATTGGCCTTATTTGTAGAGGAAACTGTTGTGAGCTTACTGTGCCACAGGGCATCCTCAACAGTAATTGTCCACAGCTGAAGGAACAAGTTCCATAGCCCACAGCTGAAATGCTTGGGACCAGTTTTTTGGGGGATTGGTTTTTCAATACAGAGTTTCTCTGTAGCTTTGGAGTTTGTCCTGAACTTGCTGTGTAAACCAGGATGGCGTCAGACACAGAGATCCCTCCTGTCTCTGCCTACTGAGTGCTGGGATTAGAGGTGTGCACCACCACTGCCAGGAGGATGGTTTTTTTGTTTGTTTTGTTTTTTCGAGGCAGGGTTTCTCTGTGTAGGCCCAGCTGTCCTATAACTCCCTTTGTAGAGCAAGCGGGCCTCAAACTTAGATCTGCCTGCCTTTGCCTCTCGGGTGCTGGGATTAAAGGTGTGCACTACCACCCCTTGGCAAGTATTTTATTTTTAGGTTTTGTTTTTCAGATTTGTGAGCTTTTTATGTGCCTTATTAGCTGAAAATCTAACACCAGTATATCTGAATGGCTTAAGGATTTTAGTGTGTGGGCAACAGGGTCTCCTTAGAAATGTTTTGTGGTCTTGGATTGAAGCCAGGGTCATGGTAGGCATGCACCCAACTACTAAGCTATGTACTGAGCCCATGGATAATGGAAGGTTCCTTAAAAACTACAAGCACACCACTTTGTTCTTCTGTTCTGTTTACAGGGCCAAGTGATCCAGTTCTAAGCTGACGTTATGAAGACAATAAAATCATGAGCTTTCACTCAACCTCGTTTGATTGCAGTTGGTCTTTTGGGAGGGAAAAAAAACAAGCTGTCAAGAAATTCCCTCAGCTTGCTGGCTGAGTGCTACTTTAGGATTGAACCTTGTTGAGCTGGTGTGAAACGTGACTAGTCTATTGGGATCCCACTTACAGTTTAAAATACACGAGTTACTGGTTATAAAATCCTAAATACTTTTAAGGTATAGGAGTCTTTTGCTACTTCTGGCATATAGTGGGGCAATTTGGCACAGTTCTCCAGACAGCATAGTAGACTCCCAATACACATTGCTTGCTTTAGATTATGTTCCTTTAAACACCTTGACTTATCCACATACCTTTTAGGTGAAACTGTTGAAGTGCCCCCCCAACAAACCACCTCTTGTGGGTGCTAGGAATTAATCTGGGTCCTCAGATTAGCTACTACAGTGGGGTCGTTTTTTGAAAGTTTCCTACTAAGGGTTCCAGGGTCAAACCCAGGTCATTAAGACTTCCTGAAAAAAATTATCTGCTCCCTTTAGTATCTCAGGTGGGCGATTTTAATACCATTTTTGTGGACTGAGAATATCGGGTGTATACGCTTTCTCATCGTGTGGGCAACCTTGGTGGTCCTCCAGCCTTCCGAATGCTGTGATTATGTGTATGCACAATTGCTTTGCGAGAGTATAGTTTAAAATGGATGGCACGGATTGGCACGTCTGCTAATTTGGTTGAAACCGCCAATTTCCTGCAGGTTTCACACAGCTACAGCCCAGGCAGTTTGTCAGGGCAGTAGTTCATCATTTGGTTGTCTTTATTTGCAGTGCCCCCCAGTACTGGGATTAAAGGCATGCTACCACACCTGACCATCAACTGCCATCTTTCTACCGAGGAAGCTGATATCATTTTTCCTTTGCAATAAACTAAGCAAATCATACCAAGTGACTCACCTAGTGGTCAGCGTGTGGTTGGCAAGTCTTTAAATCTTGGCTCTAGAGCTAGTGGAGTAATCAAGAACAATCCGTTATTCTGGTTCCTGAGGACCCTATACCCTTTTGACTTCCTGGGCATCATGCATGCATGTGGAACACATACATGAAGGCAAGACACTCAAACACATAAAAATAAACGTAGATTTTTTTTCTAAAATAACTCAAATATGAACTAGAACACCTGAAGCATCTGTTAGCAGCATCTGACACAAGAGTACCCACTTTTGTTTCAAAAGCCTTTCCAAAAACTTACCAGGACAAGTAGCTTTTAAAGGCCATGACTTTGGGATACTTTATTAAAAGGATCACAAGAAAGAGGCAGGTAGTGTTTTGGTCTTAGTAACACTGGCCATTTAATGTACATCTCTGCCTTCAGACATAGTCTAGCCGAAGCAGAACAGTGCCTGAGGGATTTATTCGCGTTTTTAAGGTTAAAGTCCATTCATAGAAGCCTAGCCGTTCTTTCACAGGGAGGAGCTGCGTGACGATGCAACCAGGATTGCAGGCTATTCCTTGACCTAGAGAAGAAACCTGGATGGTGTAAGAACGAGGTCCGCCAATTTCCTGCAGGTTTCTCACAGCTACAGCCCAGGCTAAGTTTGAGAGTGGTTTTTCCCAAACCTCAATGTTGTCTTCCTGAAAAGTCAAGAAAAGAAGTGTGAGCATGTGGGGACCCCATTACTGGCCTTACTTGATATTCAGCCTTATTGTCAGAACTATCATAAACTTGGAGGAAAAATTAAGATCAGCCAGCAGGATGTTTTAGAAATTAAAAAGTAGCCGGGCGGTGGTGGCGCACGCCTTTTATCCCAGCACTTGGGATACAGAGGCAGATCTCTGAGTTTGAGGCCGGCCAGGACTACAGAGAAACCCTGTTTTGAAAAGCAAGCAAAAAGGCCACTGGGATCCTGAGTGCCTTTAATCCTCCCAACACTCAGGAGGCAAAGGTAGTGGGTCTCTGACTTGGAGGCCAGTCTGATCTACAGAGGGAGTTCCAGGACAGCCAGGGCTGCACAAAGAAACCCCATCTCGAAAAACCAAACAAAGGAAAAACTCAGTAATAGCTCTAATTACTCAGTTCGCAAATTCAAGGGAAAAACAACTAAAAAATAAGCCAATCATTTCTTCGTGTATCACAGGCTTAAGATAGTTTGGTACTTAAGTATTAAAAGGTCATCTAAGATACTGCAAATGATAAACTTTAAGGCAGTAGAGTATCTTCCTGGTCAGTTTTCTCCCAGGAAGTACTACTTACCTTTCTAAAACAGTACCCCTGCTTGCCCAAGGGGTCTTGGTTGATGGCAATCACATCCTCATTCTGAAGTAGAGCTTTGGCTTGAGAACTGATTTGTCGGAGATCGTTGGACATGAGTAGAGGCGCTGCCATGATAGCCCAGAGGGCCATCTGAGTTACCTGCTGGTCCCAACTGAGGCCAAAGTTGCCAATCACTAACTAGAACAAACAGGAAAGGAATGAGGCAAGGGAAAATTCAAATGTTTGGTTTTTTGTTGTTGTTGTTGGGGCACAGAGATCCTTGTATTCACATGGAAGCATTAAGGAAAACTGGAATGTTCAACATACAGGGCCTCTTCTCGAGGGAAGAGATAAAATACCTGCTTTCCTACCAGGAAAGCTGGGAGTGGCTTTTAACAGCCTGGTGACTTTGTTATCTGTGGAGGCAGACCTCACCCCAATTCCCCAGAATGGTTATCCCAGACTCCTCCCTCCTAGACCATTACCCATCCTTAGGGGAGAGGTCACACACACTTTATGCTCTGCTGACCTCTATGCTACCAGGGACCGCACTAGATTCTAGGCCTTTTAGCTAGGAACCCACCCTCATGGTCACACATACTGTGTAAGTCTGTCTTTGTTTGGTGGGGTGGGGAGAATCAAGATAGGGTTTCTCTGTGTAGCCCTGGCTGTTCTGGAGCTCTGTAGACCAGGCTGTCCTTGAACTCAGAGGTCTGCCTGCCTCTGCCTCACAAGTGCTGGGTTTAAAGGTGTGCACCACCACACTCTGCTGTGTAAGTTTCAATGTAGCCACACATAAGCTTTATTGTACACCTAGGATTGGAGTGATCACTGCCTGGAAACCTTTTCCCAAATTTGACTGTGTTTTAAATATGTTGACAGTGAACCGCCTGGCATCAGATTCCAAAGTCGGATCCAGGCTGATGAAGTCAATTTGCACTGGGACTTCATTCTCATCTCTTTGTGGGTTCGCTTCTCTGACTGGATACCTGCAACCCCCCCCCCTCAGTTGTTCTTTGTTTTCTTTTTTTGGAGCTAAGGACTTACTATATAGTCCAGACTAACCTTTCAGCCTTGAATTTGGAGCCACTCTCCTGCTTGCCTTTGGAGTGCTGAGACTCCAGCTACACCGTATCTGTCAGAACATTTAAACAATTTCCTAGATGGTTGACTGAGAGAAACCATTTTCCACAGCACTGTGATGGATGTGCTCATGGAGAACCTAAAAACCTTGCTTGGTTTGTGCTAGGTCCTGCACTCAGACCCAGGCATCAACAGAAACAAAGCTACCAGCTCTTGAATGAGGAGGGCTCAGATCTTTACCATGTCTGGGTCATTCCAACCCCCTGGTCCAGCGACGTCAACAATCTCTTTTTGGTTAGTTGTTGTCCAGGTCAAGATTTTCTTTATGCTTTCCCAGGAATCGTAAACATCATCATAATTTCTCCAGTGATTGCAATAATATTGGATATCTGTATAATTGGGCTATAAAAAGACAGAATTGGTTAACTTGCTATGAGATGCTAATGATCCACTTTAAAGGAGGCACTGATGGCCTCTATAGTATACAGATCAAAAGTCTCCCCACAACAAATAACAAAGCCTGGAGTTCTAAATGTAAGGGAATTTCACTAGAAGATGTTCACTTCATATGTAGGCCATATAATTTTAAGTTCCTGTTTAAAGTGACTTTGATATTATTTATGCTGGCTATGCACTTTACTGCCTAGGTACTGTTTTTGACTGGAATCTGTAAACTAGCCTAAAGTGGACATGTTTCTATTTTTGTAATAAAATAATTACAATGATCTAAATAAGTAGAAATAAGGCTTATAAAATTATATAGGATGCTATTAAACACGATAAAATCTGAATCCGAGACAAGTAATTTGTGGAATGAATCAGTTTATGTAGATATGTAGGTGTGATACCCACGGGCTACAATGTTGAGGAAAAAGACTAACTAAAAATTTCAAGAAAATAATAGGGATTGATTCAGTGAGAAAGACCTACCCTCCTGGATTTACATTCTAGTGGGGAGATGGACAAACAAGTAAACAATAAAGATCCGCTCTTACAGGGAAACCAAGCAGCAAATGATGAGAGAGTAAATGGGCAGCAGACTATTTTAAAATGGAGAAGACTCAAGTTTGCAGCATCTGGTCAGATTTCAATGTTAAGTAGCCAACCCTTTTAAAATCTTGGTTGCAGGCTTGTCAGCAACTTTTCTGAAAAGACATAGACTTTTATGAAAATGTCTTTGTGTTGCCCAGTACCAGGCACAGTGAATATACACCGACAAGGTAAATACAGTATGTGATGAACAGAAGGAAAAATAACGCAGGGAGGAAAAGAGCTGTTGGGGGATGGAGAGGCGGACAAGAGGCAGGTTAATGAGGCCTGATTGCATTCCAAGTGCAATGGAAGGAAAGCGGGGAAGTTTTAAGGAGGGGACCGATCGGATGCCCTTGACATTTCTCAGAAGACAGTTTTGCTGCTGCTTGGAAAATGGTGGGGGCAGGGAAGCGAGCAGAAGTAGAGAGATCAGGCTGTCAGAGCAGGCTGGGTGAGAGATGAGAGTGGCCTGGAATGCTAGTGTAGATGTGGTGGGGATGACAGATGTTAGTAATTCAAGATAGAATTTGGAGCAAACATTGGCAGGATTTTCTGGTGAACAGTGAAATAAAAGGGGAAAAAAATCAAACACAGTTTCCTGGTTAGCGGAAGCTTCGACTGTAATTATAAATAAGCGTTCTGAAATTTAGATTCTGGCTCACTAGCT